AGTATACAGAAGAAATCATTTTTTCAGAATAAAACAATGCAGTCCTTAAAAGAGGTTTCCATATGTTGGAAAATATAGACTGTTTGTTCGAAACAAAATTAGTTGATTTGAAATAACTTGATTGTATTAACCATATGTTGGGAATTGGATATGATCAAATCAAGTTTCGAAGGGCAAAATTGGTAAATTCTAAGCTTTGATTCTGAAAGGAAACCGGCAAAAGTTGTCAATTACACTCCATTTGTTGGAAAAGTTCAAATTGGGCTTCCAGTATTTCGTTGGATGTGTTTAAATCAAGTTTCAAAAGACAAAGTTGGTTAATTCGAAGCTAATAGCTGAAGAATTATGTTAATCCTAGAATCGATATGAAGAGCAATAATTGTTTTCTTTAAAAGAAAATTTCACACTTGGAAAAGTTTGAGTTAGGATTTGAGTTTGAAAATTTCACATTAACCATACAATTAAGTTTACAATTGGAGTGGTAAATCAGAGTTTGACAAATGAAATTCGGAAAGCCTAGTTTTATTGATAAGTGTTGTTTACACCGGGATTCATTTGATTACATTCTCAATTTCAAAGAAATATGAAATGGACAAAGTTACAAGATCATGGAATTTAGTCCAACAAAATTCAATAAATGAATATTGTTTTCCTACTCTATCCTCTATCTTGTCCAGGTTTGGTTTATCTAATTAGTAAGCCCTTAATTGAGAAGTGAGTTGTTGGGCCTTCACTTCGAATTCTATCTGTTTTAGGGCTTTGTCTGTGGCGTCCATCTCCTCTTCTTCATCCACTTCGTTCATAGCAACACCCTCCCCATGCTCAGAATCCTGGCTCTTGAAGTCCTCATATTCATCAAGGAGGTTCTCTGCCTCATACTGAACCTGAATTCGAGTAGAGAAGGCTTCATCCAAAACTTCACTGGTAATGGAAGCATAGAAGTGCCAGTTGAGCAGGAGAGGAAGTTGGTCTAAAAAGGTATAATGCTCTATTTGTGTCACAGGGTTGAGAAGATGACTTCGAGACATAATCTCACAAGCCCATAGAAAGTTTTTGTGGGGAATGTCATCTCGAAGGACTTCAAAGGATAAATGGGAAAAAGTAGCAAGCAAGGTCTGAGCCCTAAATTGCTGATAAGGAGTTGGAGGCACTGGGGCCTGGTAGGGGGTGAAGTATTGGCCCTCAGAGAGAGTGAGCCTCAATTCATCAATCCAATTTGGATTGGAAGGCAGAGGAGGAGCAGTCGGAGGTTCCCTGTTTGAATCTAGGAATTTAGGTCTGGCCACACATTCTAGCTAATCGAAGGTATAAAGTTTTGCTTTTTTGGCTAAAAGCGCATGACTGATCCCTAAAGCTTCATCAGGACGTGGGACATTTCAAACCATCCGAGATGGCAAGGTAGAAATATACCATGCTGAAAGCAGATTGTCCTCAAGACTGCGTATACGGTCAATAGAAACATATGGATATACTACAGAACTGCGTCTGAAAAGGGGGATTTTAAAAGAGTCATCGAATTCAGGGAATCGGTGATGAATGCGTTCCCTCGTCTGAGGTTGAGTAAGAGTAGGCCAAGTTCCCCAGCCAGAGGTCGTAGAAGAAGAAGAAGAAACAACAGCTTCATCCCACGCGGAAGGCTTTGTTGTAGAAGAAGAGCTTCTGATATCCATGGTTGCAAATTTGTGTTCCAAAGAATCGTAAGCAGTGAGTTCTTGGTTCGAAGGTCGGTGACTTGCGAAAGCTTCCATAACTTGTATAAATGGGGGTGGATAAAGGTGGCTAATCAATGCATGAAGGTTTTTTCGAGGACGAACAACATTATCAAATAACTTTCGTATGCTTGATCAATGTAAGAAGAGACTTGCTTGGCCATAAAAGATGTACCAGTCTCTTCGAATACTGAGATAGTCGGAATGTTCAAAGGTTAGAAGAGAATTTAATGCAAATGTTTCATTGATGAATGACGGTTGCATTTCTGAAAAGTGCAAAGCTCATGCACGTTCTAAGACATGGATAAAATGCCTTGATCCACTAATATCACTAAGTATTGGGTATATTATTGCAGGGGGTAATGTTGGCTGCATATTTTGTATAGGCCAATCACAGTCTAACACGTGGCAAGATGAGGGTAATACGGGAAGACAATTCAAATTTTCAACCGTAATCATACGCGTGGCAGTCAGTATTGGTTATTGTAAATCTGCATAGCACTGGATCAGCAAAGAGATGCAAGATAGCATGGCCTTAACAGTTACTCATATATTTAAATTTAAAATCAGGAGGGAAGCCTAACTGCAGACATGGCGTAGTGGAGCTAACTGTGAGGAAACATGATCAGTAATCATGAAGGGATGATTCGACGGTTGGAAGCTCATTTCAACGGTTATCATTAAGACGTATATATAGTAGAAAATGCCCCAGAAAGAACCCCCAGACTCAGATCTAAAAAACCAGTTTTATCTACTTTATTTTTCTTCCAGTTTTTACATTTCTTGTTCTTTACATTTCTGTATTTCAAATTCTTGCACTACACTTCGTTCGTAGGAATAGTTTCAAGTAGTTTGTTGCTGTAAACCTCTGCGAGACTGATTTGGATCATTGTAAGTGTTCCATTTTACTTAATGAAATGCTACAATTGTTCTTCATTTAATCGTTGTTTAATTCTCCTAAACAAAGCCATCAGTAAAAGTCCTCTTCATTGAGGCTGAAAGAACTAAAATACAATCATTTGATAATTGGTTGACAATTAATATTCTGTAAGGACTGCTTGATCCTTGCTGGCACGCTTAAAATTACAATAATAACCTTCGAAAGTCAAAAATTCAACAATCACACACACACACACACACACACATATATATATATATATGGATTCGACTACTATAAATTGGATCTAAGATTTTATTTTATTTTTTTTGTTTGTGTGTATATGTTAGTCTATGGTTCCAAATGCAGTCTACCAATTCAATTAGGAATTAGATTCACTTATTTCATCAAATTTCACAATCAAACGAAAGAACGTGTGGATCAATTCATTTCCGGTGTGTTAACACCACATCAAATTTAAATCTATAACATACATATAAATTTTGGACAATTTTTTATTGGGTAAATTATTTATAAATCTTATTTGGAAGACTTATACAAGATATGGTCCTATGAAAAAAACTTATAACCCAATAGATTTTGTGGTTTTCTTGTGGACACATTTACCCCAATCTTAATTAATTAATAACCTGATTAATGATAATACCATATATAGGAAATCTAATATTATCATAGATTGTTATCATATCTATATGATTAGAAATTTGAAATTCAAAATAACATAATTAATGACAATTTCATATATAGGAAATCTAATGTTACCATAAATTATGATTATATCTATATATGGTTAGAAATTTGAAATCCAAAATAACTTAATTAATGGCAATACCATATATGAGAAATCCAATATTACCATAGATTGTGATCATATCTATACGGTTGGAAATTTAAAATTCAAAACGTAAACGTAATACGTAACATCTCAAACCCAATGTGGCATTCCCAAATTCAATGTGACATTCCCATATATTTTTGAAATTTAAAATAACTTGATTAATGGTAATATCATATGAAAAATCTAATGTTACCATAGATTGTGATCATATCTATATGGTTGGAAATTTGAAATTCAAAATATAAATGTAACATAGCATTCTAAACCTAATGTGACATTCCTAAACCCAACGTGACATTATCATATACTTCTCATCGCAAATTCAACGTAAATGTAACATGTAACATCGTAAACCCACCGTGACATTCTCATATCATATGTTTCTCATCCCAAACCCATCGTAACATTTCAATACTCCATTGTTGAATTATGAATAATGTAACCTCCTAAATCTAACATGTAACATCCCAACACAACCCACCCCATGTATTGAACCACCATCACCCCCAACTCAACGTAACTTCAACGTCAAGCGATAGGATTCAATCCACATTCAATCACAAACCCAAATCTCCAATAATTTTGCACAATGTACTGTGATATATATGTAAATACTAATTACAATAAAAACACAATACACATTCAAATACATATACAACCGAACAAACACACAAATGTCATCTACTACATTGTGTATGTGGATTAACATTACACACTAAATGTAACATACATCCTAAGACGATCATCAAGATCTCAATGTACAATTGCCATCCTGCGACATGGTTTACATTCGACATCCAATTAATTACCAAAACCAAATACCCACAACCTAACCCTTGAACCCATACACATCACCCCACATATCGAACATATCAAATCGCATCAACCATCACAATGTCAAATACACACATTCAATCAGAACATTGACCAAAGTGTACCTATCAATGAGTGTAATAGATTGTTAATATCCTATTAAAGATGAACAATCCACACTTCAACAAACAGTAACACACTTCAACCAAAAAAAAAAAAAACATACCTCTTTCCTTCAACCGATTGGAGTCGAAATATGTCGAAAGAATCAACACACAACTCTCAAACTTCATCATATCAGCAACCATATTCATATCCGTTTAAGAAATATTTTGAAAATGCACTGGAATCCCGCGATCAAGGCGAAAAAAACTCGCATGGTCGTTACCTGTAGACTTGTCTTTTCTAAAAGCTTTTCTAAACGTAATATGATGAATGAGAGAATAAGATACAATATGGAAACAAATCAAGGGTATATTAGTACACTAATATCATTCATTTACAACTTATAAGACCTTATGAAACGTGTTCCTATTTAAAGAGGATTTCAAATTCTAAAAAAATATTTATAAGACTTTACATTAAATAAGTCTTTCAAATAAGACTTATAAATAATTTTTTTATTTTATTTATGTATATATTTTTTACAAATACATAGCATTAATTGACCTTCCCGTTGTTTGTTTTTTTTTAAGTAGTTGGGTTTTACAAGATTCAAGAGAACTCACATGGGAATCCCATCAAAAACAAGTAAAATAATATCTTACATATTAGAAAAACAATTTCAATTTCAACATTTATGTTCTCAAACAGGAATCCAAATCCGAAAAACAGTACATATTCTACATATGTATATCTATCAACATGTCTTTGAACATGGTTAACTACCATTCATAAGTTTTCCACATGCAAAAAGAGATTCAAGAACCCAAATGTTGCTTACTAGAGCTTCCAACACCACCACCACCACCGCCACCCTCCCCATCCTTGGGAGGACCTAAAGAATTCCCCATAGGATGATTCTTTTGGTTTTCTTTATTAATGAGCGATGAAATTGCTGCCGCGACTGCAACCCTAAACTTTGGATCAGAAGCGATTGCAGTTACATTATCGGCCAACAACTTGTTTCCTTCCGCTCCTCTAGTACCCGAAAAAAGATTATTGGCATTGATAGCATTACCGCTATGATTATTGCTTAGTGAGCTACGCATCCAAGGAAACCCTAATTGAGCTGCTGAGCTTGAGGGACCCGCCGCAGGGTATTGCTGGTGTTGTGGGTCACAAGCATTGTTGGTGAGGTCAAGGACAATCCCTTTAGAAGGGTCATTAGGGTTAAGGTTTCTAATACTTGGTGTGTAAGGGGATATTGAGTTTAGCATGTGAGAGCTATGATATGGGAAGGATGGTGATTGAGTGAAGTTTGTGATGCCATTTGAATGAGGATTGCTTGAATCTACTAAGACAAAGGATGCAGCTGTGGATGCTGTTGATGCCATGGCTGTGGCCCCCACTGGGAGTGGATGATTATGGGTTCCTTCATAGGTTGTGATGAGTATTGACATGTCCTCCAAACACCTTTGTACCTATTTATATGTAAAAATCACTAAGAGCAGTTAAGGATCAAAACAAAATTAACAAGATTTGAGATCAATTAATGTAATGCTGATATTGAATTCCTGAAAACATTTTCATAATCATACCTGTTTTCTAACCGGACATCCTGGAGCTACTGTGCATCGATAGTAGGCTCGTGGACAAGGATTTCCTTTCGCAATTTTTTGCCCATATTTTCTCCATTGGCAACCATCATTCATCTATGATAAAATTTAGAATTACTTGGAATCATGGTTTAAAAAATGAGCAAAAATGTGGTAAATTGCGTTTAAGAGAATCACAAAAGGCATATCATTGAATTTTAGAGGAATTGTTAATGATTTTTTTTTATAAAAAAAATTCACAATCGCAATGCCCAATTCCCAATACATATCATTTCATACTCCTGATACTAATTAATGCACCACGATTTAGAACTATGCTTGGTATTGTCTACTTAATTAATTAAGCAAAATAAAACTTCATAGAAAGTAATTGACAATGGTGAATTGAACTCACTGTAGCTGTTTGGCATCTTGCCCTAACTGAAACCCTTGCTTTTCTGTTGGGTGGAGAAGCAACATGTGTGACTCCGGCCAAGTCACCGCACGGTAGGTTACTTTGTACTGGTGCAAACCTTGTCAAATCTTGATTTTGCTTGTTCTTTTCTTTTTCTTCTTCTCTTTCTTGTTGACTTTCATAAGTTTGAAGCCTCAAAGATAACCCTAATTCATGACTTTCTCTGGTATCATCTTCTTGTGATGGTGATTCCGGCGTTTGGGTATTGATATCCAAAGCTCTTGGGCTTCTGTTCATCTCTTGAATCGCATTTTCATTCCCGTTAAGCGATAGGAAGATCTTAGGATCCTAGATCACATAATTAAGTACACAAAAAGTCAAATTTGAAAAGAAAAAAAATTAAATTAAAAAGGTTTTTAAGTAGTCTAAATTTGCATCAAATGGTGGTTACCTTGTTTTGGTTATTTTGTTGGATGACCGCAAATTTCATCTGCAAATTATAGTAATTTTTCATGGTTTGATCTACAGCTTTTCTCAACACCTTGTTCTCTTCTTTCATCCGGTTCATCTCCATCTGCAACACCGATAACTGGTATGACACAATTGCTTCATCAGTCATCAAATGATAATAAACAAGCCAACTATATGTTAACTTGAAAATAGAAAATTTTATTAACTCGAAAAATAATAAGATACATCAAGACAATAGGAATTAGAGAAGAAAAGGTTCTCGCTACAAAATATATCCCAACTATGTTAGCACACACACTCAGATCAAATCACTAGCGACTACCAATACCCCGAAATGCAAAAAGATTTTTTTTTGGCTGTGGCTATACATATAGATGCATAATCTCTCTCTCTCTCTCTCTCTCTCTCTCTCTCTCTCTCCTACATACATGGATATGGCTATATACTATACATATACCACACACAGATTCATATGGCAAACTATAAATGAATATAAGTAAACAATAGGTTTGTAACAGTACCTCTTCTGTCTTGAAGTTGTCTTGCAAGGACATGTCTACTGATGCTTCATCATCTACTTCTTCTACTTCTGCTTTTTTCTTGTCTTGGGCAGTTATCAGACCGTCTTTTTGGACTTGCTCATCTTCTTTTGATTCATCTTTAGAATCTAGTTTCAGTGACAGATCAATATCCATTTCATTATTTTCTTCTCTATCCATGAATGCAAACTTGCAGGCTCTCTCTCTCTCTCTCTATGAATGTTGCATTTGAGGCACCAAAGTCAATTCCATCGTCTCAAAAACGTATAAATAGAATTAGACACTCAAGGACGCATCTAAGTTTTGACTTTGTTTAGGTCCTTACATATAACCCACATTTATATGCTTTGCAAGCCATAATAATAATTTTGTTCCAAAAAAAGAAAAAAAAAAAAGCCACAATAATAATAATAGTAGTATTATAGATACACGGACGAGTAGAGTGTTGGGTCGCCGGTTTATCACTTCAGTAATTGCAAACAATTCAGTTTATATGGGATTTTGTCTTGATTTTAATTGAGTCTTTTGGTAATAGATGATGGGATTGGTCTCTCGAATTATTAGACTGGATATTGAGTATTATTCATAATTATTTTGTGATTTATTAGATTAATTTTTGACGTGGTCTCCAAATCTTGATCACTTATTACTATGGACAAATTGTAATAGTAGTCTCTGTACTTTGATTTTTATGTCATTTTGGTCCTTGTAATTTTAATTGGCTCGATTTTGACACTGAATTTATGATTTTGTTTGAATTTGGTTCAACTGATTACAATTTTTTACACTTTTAACAGAAAATATGCATATAAGTGGCGTGTATCATAATTTTTTAGAGTAAAATTATAAATTTACTAACCTTAGTGAGTTAACCTCAATCAATTCAATTATTATTTTCAGTCAAAAACACTTATGACATTATTAATTGGACAAAATTGATACAAAATTTAAAATTAAGAGTCAAAATTGTGTCAATTGAAAGTGTACGGACCAAAATGACACAAGGAGCAAAATGTACGGACCACCGGTATAATTTGCCTTATTATATTTATATTTTTTTGAGAAGTTATTTGATAGTCTTGGACCAATAATTCACACTACTTATTATGTTCTCTCTAAAAAATCAACACAAAAGTACTAAGTCCCATTATTTTCACCCGTAAAAATCAAGTTGGGTATCATATGACCTTACCCTAATACCATCAAATAAGTTTTCTATTTGTTTTTATACAAGTGGTATTACTGTTATTATTTTTTTTTTGTATGTGGCTCCTTATTATGGCTAAAAGACAACAAAATCCTTATAAAGTTCTTAAAATTTGAGTATATACTGGATATAAATAATATGTGAGTATGGTCTGATTTGGATTGGTTTGAAATGCAAATTTTCATAGAAACATACAATTGGATTAATGGAAAATAAGAAGTGTTCCATCTAATTTCATTTTTTTATTAATTAGTAATATCTCTCAAATAGAAGAAGTTTCCCATTTAATTTATTTATATTTATTTTTTAAACTTATTATTTTCATTTTTCTTCACCAACCGTCTATAGTTCCCTGCATGATACAGTATTAAGTTTCTTGTTATAAGGTCAAGGACGTATACAAAATTTGCACACTAATTAATTATTTATTAGATGAGTTGTCTTGACCGCCGTGCCTCTTTTGAGGAAGAAAACAAAACAAACAAAAACAAAACAAAAGAATGAAAAATATTGATATCAAATAATGTAGCAATTAAAAAATTGCTTTAGCAAAGTTATAAATAACTCATGTCAAGCAACTATACGATGCACTAAAATAATCAGATTGGCATTAATGATTAAACTATTCCACTTAGACATAAATGAAGAATTCTTGGTTCTCATTGAAAATTTTATTTTATTTTAGAAACAAACAATTTTTTTGGTGGGTGCAACATTAATCATGAATGGGTCTAATTCTATTGATGACATTGAAAAGAAACAAACTTTATACTGTTGATTAATTAAATTTGCATCATTTTATTTTATTCGAAGTATGCTTATGCTACTTCTTTTTTCTTCTTTTTTTTTTTTTTAATAATTCGGTATTCGGTCCACTGGACTGATAATTCGAGATACTAATTTTACCATTCACCAGTGGGGAGCTTAATTAAAATGTAACACCAATGAATTGTTTTCACTTAAAAAAAAAATTGAACTTGAAACTGATAAGGATGTGGGTTACTGCGATAAGATCTCATTTAGAATCATGTTTTTCTTCGTATGATTCGTGAGAGGAGCATTGTTGGTTTGAAATTCTTACATGGGGATATAGTGATACTTCGAGTATGTTGAATAATATTTTTTATCTTTATCTTTTTTTTCTTCTTTTTTTTTTTTTTAATAATTCGGTATTCGGTCCACTGGACTGATAATTCGAGATGCTAATTTTACCATTCACCAGTGGGGAGCTTAATTAAAATGTAACACCAATGAATTGTTTTCACTTAAAAAAAATTGAACTTGAAACTGATAAGGATATTGAAGCAACTCCTATTGCAGCAGATCATCCAGCTGCAAAAACAGCTACAGCTTATTCAGCTGCAATCATAGCTGCAAGTTCAGCTGCAGCTCATACAGCTTCCTTAGTACCAGATCATGGCTTAGTTTCAGCTCAAGGTTCACTAACAGTTACACCTTCCAACTGACTTCCATATCAAATGGTGATTAGTTAGAAGCAATTATGATTTGTTAAGTCAGTTAGGTACCTCTTGTATAAATAAACTTTGTATTTTTGATATTTGTAATGAGAATTGAGTTCAAGCTTTTCATCATGGTATCAGAGCATCTCTGAAGCTCTCACGAGCATAACTCTGGCCTATCCATGGCTTCTCCTAATTCATCTCTATCTTTTTCTTTACCTCTCAATCTCAATCTATTGATCTCTAATCTCAGTTCATTCATTACAGTTAAACTTGATTTTGCAAATTTTCTTATATGGCGCAGTCAGTTTCAAAGTATATTGCGTGCAACTGAGTTGTTAGATTTTTTGCAACTGGATCAATTTCTTGTCCACCGTTGCAAATCAAAGATTCAAGTAGTGTTGAAGTTCTAAATCCAAATCGAGTACAGTGGAACAAAATCAATGCTCATCTGTATAACAGCTACACTTACACCTGTAATTTTTTCTTCTATTCTTCATTTGCAACATAGTTATGAGGTCTGGAATGCTCTTTGTAAACGATTCATAGTGTTATCTAGATCTCACATTCATCAAATGAAGAATCGCTTAACTCATCTAACAAAAGACTCACTGTCAATGGATGAGTATTTGACTCAGATAAAAGAACTTTCTGATCAATTAACTCTAGCTTCGTCTCCTATTGATGAAGAAGATCTGGTACTTCTCACTCTAAATGGATTACCAAATGAGTTTGATGCTCTTAAAACCATTATTCGAGCACGTGTTGAGCCTATTTCTATAGTAGAGTTAACATCTCTTTGAGTTCTGAATCGGTTCACATTAAAGCTAAACGGAGAAAGTCATAATCTCATGAGCCTTCAATTGCTTATGTTGCCTAGTGAGGTTCATCTAGTACTACTTCTAGAGGAGGACGCTCATCCTTTCGAGGTTTCAGAGGTGGTTTTATAAGTGATTTTCATGGTGGCAGTGGCAAATCTGCTTCTCGTGGCAGAGGTCGTCATTACTTCTCCAACTTAATTTGCCAAATTTATGGTAAAAGCAGTCATACTACAATAGACTACTGGCTTAGACTGGATGCAAACTTTCATCAATCCTCTTCGTTCAATTTTCCTTCTCCATTTGCTCCAGTATTCACTTCCTCTGGCTATTCTTCTCCTCGAGCTTTTGTGGCTTCTACTCCGTCCACTGTCCCTATTGAATCTTCTCCCTGGTACCTTGATTCGGTTACTTCTGATCATATTACTCATGATCTCTCTAATCTCAACATGTATCAGGCTTATCAAGGGCCTGATCAGATCACTGTAGGCAATGGTAATTCTCTTCCCATTCATCATACAAGTAAAGGCCTCTTACCTACTCCTCATCTTTCCTTTAAGCTTAATAAACTTTTGCATGCTCATATCTCTTCCAATCTTCTCTCTGTGCATTAACTCACCAAGGACAATAATTACACTATTACATTTGATGAGTTTTGTGATTTAGAACAAACACTCAAAGGCCATTCTGTACAAGGGCCATAATGCTCATGGCTTATATCACTTTTCACATTTGACATCATCTTCCACTATTGTTGTTCATGTTCTTCCAACATCATTATCTCATGCTTTATTTTCTACTACTACCAGTCCTGTATTTGAGATTACTTGGCATAAGAGATTGGGTCATCCCTCTTAATTGAAATTTACAGCTTTAAAAAAACACTTACATGTTGCTGATAATCACTCCAAGTCTTCTGTCTTTCCTTGTACTCATTATAGTATAGCTAAAAGTCATAGACTTCCTTTCAAGCTTTCCAATTCTACTGTAATAAATCCTTATCTCTTATTCATAGTGATGTATAGGGGCCATTTCATTCTTCTTCTTTTGGTTACAAATTCTATGTGCTTTTCATTGATGATTTTAGCAAGGTTACTTGGCTTTATCCTCTCTGTTATAAAAGTGAAGTTTTCTCCAAATTTTTGGAATTTAAAACTTACGTTGAGACTCAATTTTCTACTAAACTACAAGTGCTTAGGACTGATGGAGGCATTGAATTTGTTAATTCCTTTATGACTTAATTTCTAAAAGCTCAAGGCATTGGGGGTGTTTGTTTCAGCTTTTCAGAGTTAACTTATGGCTTTTAACTTTGAAAAAGTTATTTTGGACTGTTTGGTTAAACTTATTTCAAACAGTTTATGATTCTAACAGCTTATTTTAACTCAAAAAAGCTGATTCTGAGAAGCTGCTCACCCCTTGCTTCTGATTATCAGTTTCTGCTATGGACATATTAATTTATGGTTATACTCTTAAATTTTTTTATTTTTTATTTTTTTAAAAATAGAAAAAGACTCAAATGGACTATAGATTATTATTATTATTTTTTATGAGAAATGTAAACAAACAAAAAATAAAAATTAATTGAAAAAACTATTTCACAGCTTATTTAATAAACACTACTCAGCAACTTAAATCTATAATCCATCAGCTATACCAAACAGATTAACAACTTCTGATTAAAGCCATAATCTATAATCTGTTAAGTTATAATCTATAAGCTGTTTTAACAGCTACACCAAACGGGGCCATTGTTCATCAATTATCTTGTCCATACACTCTTCCTCAGAATGGTGTCTCTGAATGCAAACATAGACATATT